GGCGAAAAGCAGGACAGATTTACCTTTTAATCCCTATCTATACCTAGGTATTCAAAAGTCGTTCTCTTTCCTTCAGGTTTTTGGACTAACATTTTGTGATTGGCAGTAGAAATACGTCGTCATGAATTCCACGGAATCTACCTTGCATTTATTGTTTTGTGAACCACAGGATGACCTACCTTTCTGACCATCCAAGATCCAAACTCCGCCCTGAAGATGGCGATGTTCCTTGCTAGTAACCGCTTTCAAAGACCACATTCAACATGAATGGTGAATTTAATTATGAAGATTTTATGGCAATGTCATAGCTGATTTGTATATTTATGTCATAGGGTGATTCTAAAGTCCTTACGCGTCTGTAAGAACAGGGAAATGTTTCTCGTGGTGAACTTGCGGTTTTAACACGACACAACTGGCTGAAGAAAGGATGTGGCCAAGGTAATACAGTCACGTGACGTGCTTTTGAATCACTTTCAACTTTAACACTTGTTCTTAGAAGTGCATATGAACTTTTAAATTGTCCTGTGTAAACTACAGGTCTGCTTTGTCTTTATTAGTCTTTTCAGACACTCAAATCATTGAATAAAAATTTTCTTGGATATTATCCATCGTCTAGTAAATATAAAACGTAAAACGACGTTTCGGAGATGGGACTCTATCTCCGTCTTCAGGTTCCTACACAGTTGGGCCCACTAGATAGAGCTAATCCCTATCTCCAGAGATAGGGATTAGCTATATCTAGTCCCATCTCCGAAACGTCGTTTTACGTTTTATATTTACTAGACGATGGATAATATCCAAGGAAATTTTTATTCAATTGACTCTTCACCATCGTCAAGAAGTTTTAGATTTGAAATACTCAAATCATTCCTCGAAATTTCGTTCTGAATACGCCATTGGACGAGTATATCAACATCACCTCGGACGATAGACAATGCCAAACGTATGATTCAGTAACTTCCATAGACTTTTAGGTAATTGGTGAATCATTTCCGTTTTTATCTCTTACAAAGTTCGTTTTTTGTCCTTTTGGAATTATTTTCGTCTACTGGTTCAACAAAAGAGAGATGAAATATGACAATAAAAGACTCGGTCATTATTTGCGAATTACCATGAGAACAGTGGGACGTAGCGTAATTAGTAATTAGTAAAGGAGTTGCAATGTTGTTTTCGTAAAAGTTTGTGGGATTAACAGAAAAGGAATTTCATTGTGATGAAGTTCGTTTTTGTTATGTTTTATAATGAACCTGGTTTGAACGCTCTCTTCCTGATCTCCGAAGGTTACAGCGTATAGATGTAATGCAAGTATGGCACAAGTGCCGAAGAACTGGAAATAGGCATGCTGAGGTTAAGTTACTTCACTGTGAGTAATTAAGCTCAACGCTACGAGGACTTGTTAATGTGCTTGATTAAGCACAGATTGTCGGGGAAATAACCTCAGGCATCTATTTAGGACACTTGGTGATCCTCAATCTGGACATTGAAGAAGAGAGAAAGTCTTTGCTTCTGTTGGGAATCGAACATAGCCAGTCCCTATACTGACAGCTACCTCGGTTCTGAACTTAAATTTTGGGCCCCTCACACACTGAAATTGAGCTTTCGAAATGCACCCAGAACGTGGGCGTTTGTGTGTCAGTGTTAAGCTGTTCCGCGTCCAAGAAGTTAGCATTCTTGAGTAAGGATTTGGAATTCAACCTGGGGTACGCGTACCCCCGGGGGTACGTGAAATTTAAAAAAATATATATTATTTTATGATAAACACTGAATAATAAGTAATGCAATTTATTTAATTTATTTTAGCTGTAGATTATATACTATGTATAACTTGAATTATACACCAACAACTTTGGGGGTACAAAGTTGAAGAGAAATTATATCTGGGGGTACGTGAAATTTAAAAAAAAAGTTATTTTATGATAAACACTGAATAATAAGTAATGCAATTTATTTAATTTATTTTAGCTGTAGATTATATACTATGTATAACTTGAATTATGCACCAACAACTTTGGGGGTACAAAGTTGAAGAGAAATTATATCTGGGGGTACACGAACAGAAAAGGTTGAATACTACTGCGATAGACGATATGTCGACCTTTGGATTTGGTTTTTGAGCAGGAAGAGAGACAAGGCAAAGTTGCACCTGAATACTACGCCAAGAAAGTGAAATATTGGATTTCGCCCGAGAAACATTTGAGTGGTCAGCTTCATCTCCGACCATGTCTTTGAAAATCATTTGGATGGAAGCCTGATTGTGTCGAGATCCGTCTTTGAAGATGAGTGGCCAGTCTTCTGAGCGGTTTATACGACAAAAAAAGGTCCCTTGAACCCAAAAGACAGGAGGCTGGGAACACCGTGTAACCATTTTTGATGTTGTAAAAAAAATGTCAACGTTCCTTCTGGTTATCGAACTCCGGCTGTCGAAGCTGTAACTTTACCAAGACAATGACAAATTTTGATTTTGTAATTTTCCCATTTTCATCGGTTGTGTGCCGTCGAGTGGAAGAAAGATTTTGAAAGATAATTTGAGGAGATCTGAAAGAGACCATTCAGCTGAAACAATGTTTGAAGTTTCGTCTCAGTTTCATTCTTATTGGAGTCTAAAGAATTGCTTTCACATTTATACAAAACAGAAAGTTTTAAAAAAATTCGATATTGAAAAACAGATCTATGAAACACTTTTAGCTACTTTCTTTCCTTGACGAAAGAAAGTAGGTTCGTGAGATAATCATTCTATGGACGTGTGTCCATTTTAGCTTTTTGAACCAGTTGACTGATTTTAAGGAAATTTGGTATAACGTTGTGCTACTAGAGGCCTCCCGGACACCATCTTAGGATTTACCGCCGTGGAAACCTTCGCATTCTACCATGTTCATAATTTCCCCAAACCCGTAATAATATATCTGACACACGAACTTCTGAGATGGGAGCTAGAACAACCCTGCAGTCGTACTTGGCGCATAATTTAAAATACGAGGCGCGTCCCAAAAGTAAGTTTCCATGGGGCCGTTTACAGAAACAAAACACAATTTCATGGAAATATTTATTGCAACAGACACATCAAGTGTCCAGCTATTTTTCAACATATTCGCCACCGGAATTGAGACATTTGTCATACCGTGGGACCAACTTTTGAATACCTGTGTCGTAGAAGTCTGCCGCCTGGGATGGGACCCACTGTGTGACAACCATCTCCGCCTCTCTGTCATTCTCAAAACGCTGACGCTGACCGGACAGGAATTTCTTGAGGTGTAGGAAAAGATGGAAATCACTGGGAGCGAGATCCGGGCTGTAGGGTGAATGATTAAACACCTCCCAGCTAAACTCCTGCAGGAGACTTGCTGTCCGTCGAACCGTGTGCGGCCTAGCGTTATCACTGACCGCACTTCACAGGCGGCGGGAGCTGGAATAAGAACCTCCATCTTCAACAGCTGCAACGATGCTACTGTGAGAACGCGGGAAGTACCGTTAGTGCATGCGCCATGCTACGTCATTGCTCTATCACGTACGCACAGTCGCTTCGCTCAATATAAGGTTTGCTAGCTGTGGGACGAGTGGGAAACTTACTTTTGGGACGCGCCTCGTACATTGATACATGAGATTTCTAGAACTGGAAGTCTCTGCAATAGAAAGCAGACTTTACAAGTTTTGCCTGAAACTCCTTGTTTCATTAGCGATTAGTGAAATTAAAAGCATTGTACAAACATAATGAAGAACAACATTTTGTTATGACACTGGCAACATTATTTATTATTCAAAGGCGTATCATAAGCCTGAACATTCGATATAACTCACAGAATATCATAGAAATAAATTATTGTCGTCCCTAAACCCAAAATCTTCACCGAGACTCGAACCCAGGGCAGTTCTTCTATTGTGCTTAATTTCCGAGCTACTGGAACTGCTGTTACCGGGATTCGAGCTCAGGACACTTTCTACGAAGTTTTTACCTTTCTAAAATCTCTTCGCGATCTCAAAAAAATAAACATGTCAAGTTTCGTGGAAATTGGTTGTCTGTTCTCGAGTCGGTTATCCGAAGTTATGTTTTACGTGACGTGCCATGTAGGCGCTCAGGGGGAGAGGAGGTATAACTCCTGCTCGTTCTCAACCTCGACACTAGATGGGAGTGAGTGGTCAGCGTTACGCCCCGGCCGTGCTTTACCCCCGATACTCATGGGACAGGAGGCTGGATGAGCCCCAGAGCAGAGGCTAGAAGAAAATTCTCAGACCCTGTCGGGGACTGAACCCCGATCGTACAGCCCGTGGTGTAGCGGAATGAATTACACTCACCCACTCACACATCTTCCACATGTTGTGTGCTCAGTTGCTCCAGACGTTCTGTTGTTCAGTCGCTGACATGTCCTTGCTGCAAAGAAAATGAAGGAGGCTCAGAAACAGATACCCATTACTAATTACGAAAAGAAAACTCTTTCATTTACAGATTTGCAAAATGTTAAAGTGCTGTTGTTGTTTGTCAGATGTTTTAATTTTTTACCCTTGTATTTTTCATTAATTTCCCCCGTATTATCTGATATTTTCAATTATTCAACTATCCTTTGGTCCCATTTAGGTTGGATAACTGGAACTCAATTGCGTAAGATAAGAGCATTTTGCTACATTTATGTTATAAACTCATATTTCTCTCCTCCTTTCTATTTTTCTTTGATTGCTGGTTATTGTGGCTGCGCCGCATATGCGTCAGTTAAATATATGAAAGTGTAGGTTTAAACAGATGTTTTCGTAACTTCTTCTGGTGAATTAACCATCACTCTAATTATCTGAGCAAAATCCTTAATAATGCTATTATTTCTGTGCAAAAATGCTAGGTTAAGGGTAAAACAGCGGAACAGTAAAAATAGCTCCTGAATGTATATTTTTAGAGAACAGGAAGTTTAAAACAATATGGCAATGAGTGATAGGTTTCTTAAGTGGTCTTTCATAAGTATGATGTTAAGTGCATTTTTCAAGTTCATCTCTGCATTTGTTTCCTTTCTCCACAGTTGTTCCAGCGCTGTCTGATGAAGGTGCTCAACATTGAATTATGGAAGTTGTACCTTGCATACGTAAAGGAAACCAAATCTACTCTACCTACATACAAGTAAGTATTAACACGGCATACACGTTGTTCTTCTTCTATGGCTCTCCGGTACATATTCGGTCCATGGTCTCCTCAATTCTCCTCTTCCATTCGGTCCTCTGTTAGGTCCGTCTGTCCGAGGCTTTGATTGAGGTTTCGAAACATCTTCCTTTTTACGGTGCAGGGTTGTTAGCCTTGCGACCAACTCCCAACCTGTAGGACCATGGTACCTGTCTTAGTCTGACCTCTCCCCCTCGACCAATCTGACTAGGGAGGCCCTACCAGTAGCTCTTGGGGTCACTGAGGTACTCAAGCCCCACCACCACGACAAGGTGCAGGTACCATTAAGTGGGAACGGCATACACGTTGGTTGTTTATATTAACATATTGTTGTGCCTAATGCAGATGAACATAATTGCTGAATTTAACATACTAAAACATAGTATAAATGGAATTTAAATTAACTGGCCTGAGTGTTACAATACAATGAATTGTTTAAAGCTATGAGATGTCTGAGAATTTTTGGTTTTTTCGCAGGTATTCAATTTAAATTAAAGTCAGGAACTGCTATGTTTACTGATATCTGTCTTTGTTCCCCTCAGCCTCTCCGTAAGAATATGTTCTTTAACACATCACAATATGGCTTCCTGCATGGATTATTTAAATTTTTACTGTCTGTAATCATTCCAAAATCCCTGTGTGCTTAATCTAAGAGTTGATGCATTATTATTAAATATGTAATAAAGCTGACATTTATTTGGTAGGGAGAAGATGGCGCAAGCTTATGATTTTGCGCTGGAAAAAATTGGCATGGATATCCAGTCTTACTCCATATGGAATGATTATGTAAACTTTCTGAAAGCAGTAGAGGCCGTTGGATCATATGCTGAAAACCAAAAAATAAGTGCTGTAAGGAAGGTAAGTGCAAACTCTTATCAAGATTTTTGTATGTTTTAATATTTTGCATAAAAATATAAATGATGATCTAAGAAGATTGTGTTGAATATACGTATATGTGATATAATATATGGAACTGTATTTCTGAAACTGAGTCAAGAAACAGTTTCCAATGAAATGAAGCACTATCAGATGTATTAATTTTACATTATGTGTAATATTTGTCAATTTGTAGTTAATAACAAAAATATAATACAATTTTTACATAAAAATATGCATTGACAAGTGATATTAGTATAAACTTTGAAGAAAAATATTTCTTCCACCCATCTAAGATCTCTGTCCATGTAAAGGTATACCAGCGAGGCGTGATCAACCCCATGGTTAATATCGAGCAACTGTGGAAGGACTACATGAATTTTGAGCAGAACATCAACCCAATCATTGCAGAGAAAATGGCTATGGAGAGGAGTAGAGACTACATGAGTGCTCGAAGAGTTGCCAAGGAGTTCGAGGCAGTGACTCGGGGACTGAACAGAAACAGCCCCAGTATTCCACCTACCGGACACCCAGAGGAACTCAGACAGGTGCATTAATCACTTGTTTCAACAGAAACTGAAGTGGTCCCTCACAAGAAACTGCAGTCAGTAATGAAATGAAGATTTCTAATATTACCAGTAATGCAGACAAGCTGAAGTTGTGAATTGTAGAAAACTTCATCTCGTACACACATACATATTTACATTATGTATGTACATATATAAAACACTGGTTCTTGGTATCATTGAGTGTGGCCAATAGTGTAATGGATGACCACTTAAAACAGCATATGCTGTGGACCAAATTATTTTACTCTTCTTTGGTTCTTTTGATATTGTCACATTAATGACTTTCACTTGCTGGGTTTCTTGTTTGCAACAGATACAACAAGTGTCCAGCTATTTTTCAACACATTCTCCACCGGAATTGAGACATTTGTCATACCGTGGGACCAACTTTTGAATACCTGTGTCGTAGAAGTCTGCCGCCTGGGATTGGAACCACTGTGTGACAACCATCTCCGCCTCTCTGTCATTCTCAAAACGCTGACGCTGACGCTGACCGGACAGGAATTTCTTGAGGTGTAGGAAAAGATGGAAATCACTGGGAGCGAGGTCCGGGCTGTAGGGTGAATGATTAAACACCTCCCAGCTGAACTCCTGCAGGAGACTTGCTGTCCGTCGAGCCGTGTGCGGCCTAGCGTTATCACTGACCGCACTTCACAGTCGGCGGGAGCTGGAATAAGAACCTCCATCTTCAACAGCTGCAACGATGCTAATGTGAGAACGCGGGAAGTTCCGTTAGTGCATGTGCCATGCTACGTCATTGCTCTATCACGTACGCACAGTCGCTTCGCGCAATATAAGGTTTGCTAGCTGTGGGACGAGTGGGAAACTTACTTTGAGGACGCGCCTCGTAGATTTATTACTTTGTATCATTGTTCTCAGTTGCAGTTCTGTTATTTCATAAATCACAATTATGATCATTCTGCCCACTCTTCACACTGCTATTAACTGTTCCCTCATGTGTTTAGTGCACCACTTCAGCGTTTCTCTGTAAATTCTCTTGCAGCTCGTGACTTTCCAGCACACGCACAACTCTGTACAAGGATGAGCTATTTGTGTTTAAAGCTCCCCTCCCACTGAGAATCACATTTAGGGTTCTGGATTCTTAACTCTGAGTGTCACTGAGCAGGGCAGAGACTGGTTTTGAAGATTCCAGCCAGTGGAGAAACATCCATTTCATTTGCCTGATTTGATCCCTTATTTTTCTTTCATTACCCTGAAACAAAAAAAAATCTTCTTCAAGTTGTTTCATTTTGAAGTATCTTAAAACATTCAGAGCAGTGTGACGATTGTATTGAAAGACTAATGACTGTTTGTAGAATTAGTCTAGCTATTAAATTATCAGACCTCAAATACTATATTCAGGAATGATTTCTCTTCACTTTAGGATTGCTCTTTGCATTGCTAAATGTTTTCTTTTAATTCCAAAAATACTGAGCTTGTATTTATGTCTGAATTAGTTTATTGTACAAATTGCAGGTGGACCTTTGGAAGAAGTACATTGCATGGGAGAAGTCAAACCCTCTTCGGACTGAGGATGCGACACTTATCACTCGTCGTGTGATGTTTGCGTTTGAACAGTGCCTGTTGTGTCTTGGACACCACCCTGACATCTGGTATGAGGCAGCACAGTTCCTTGAACAGAGCTCCAAGCTTCTTACTGAGAAGGGGGTGAGTTAGCTTAGTTTACAGTATTCAGTTGAATTTAAAAGATTCTGATAAATTTTAACTTCTTCAATATTTCATGCACTAGAGGGTCTTCTTTTTCTTTTTTTACTTTTTTACGACTCTGTTCCAGTACAAATGTCTTAATTGATTACCTAGCTCTCCTGGTTTATATTCTGGAGGTCTGGATTCAAATCTCGACCCAGAGACCAGCTATCCTCTCAGAGGTTTTTTGTGGTTTTCTTCCTTCCCTCCAGACAGTACTTTAATTATTTGTTGAGATTCACATTTTAAATTTCTGACAATGAATTTTGAATTGGTGTAACAGTCTATGTAAGCTATCTTCACAATATGGTATATATATCTTTATTCCCAATTTTACATCATCATTTCCCTTGTGTATTTATGGATTAATTCATTACAGCGTTGAATATAAAATTTGTTTTTTTAAAGATCATTTCTCTTTACATGTCTATTTCTCTCTTCCCACACATGTACTTCACTTTGCTTCCTCTATGCAACTGAGTATTAACAAATCATGTCACTTCTTAATGGAGACAGCTGTACGTCTCAACTATGCAATTGGAAGACAATACAAAACAATGTTTACATTATTTTAATGTAATGTAGCACCATATAGCCACGGTGGTCTAGCGGTTAGAACGCTGGCCTTGTAATCCTGGGGTCTCGGGTTCGATTCCCGGCGGTGCCCGAATTTATAACTTGTGTTGGGCAAGGCCGTGGTCTAGGGCTTCCCCGGTTTCTCCGTGGCATCCCAACAATTACTCCATTCACACACAGAAGAAGGCAATGGCAAACCACTTCTGGATCATCTGCCAAGAACGTATATGAACAGGTCCCAGTCCAAGAAAAGGATGGAAGGATCCTGTTCATATGGACCTGTCGTCAGACAGAACACTAAATAATAATAATAATGTAGCACCATATTCCCCTACATCATAGGTTTTTCTATAACAATATTAACCCTTTGAAGCTCAGTGGTAACTATTTATACCACCTACTTCAACAGTCAGTGACTCTGAATATTGTATTCATGCATTATGCTCAAGTTAAGAATATGTATGGAGCTATATATCCAGTCCCCATACTTTTTCATGGCATGGTGTTTAATTAACCAAAGGGACAACTATTTAATATTGTTTGCAAAGACTTGGATGTATAACTTAAGTGGTTAAAATAAGAAGTGCATACAGAAGTTTGGAAGGGAAACCTCCAGGAATCTAATAACTATGAAAATAAGGAGGTGAAGGGATTAAAATGTTTATGAGGATTTGAACTGGTTTTAGGTAATGAACTCTGGTACTAGCAATTTTTACCCCTTAGATGATACTATTTCACCATGTATTGGATGTTTTCCACAATAAAAAATATCTCAGTATTGAAGAATTATATTGTCTTATTTCTCCCAAAGTGGCTTTTGAATGCCACTCATACATTAAAATCAGAAGTTTATCAGTAGATAAAGGAAATTTTATAAAACAGCATTAGGCAAGTAAAAATCTCCACAATATATCCTAAGTGATTAAATAAAAAAAATGACGATTCTTTTGATCGGTAGTTCATGTGATAGCAGAGAGTTAGTCTGTGAGTAGTTATATAGGATGGAGATCGAGCATTAACAATGAATAGCATTGGTTACCGTAACTGAAAAGAAGAATCTCATCTTCAGGATGTGAATGCCGCCAAGCTGTTCAGTGATGAGGCAGCTGCAGTGTATGAGCGTGCAACAGCATCGCTACTGAAGAAGAATACACTCTTGTACTTTGCATATGCAGATTTTGAGGAAGGTCGACTTAAGTATGAAAAGGTACATCAGATCTACAGCAAGTTCCTGGACATCACAGACATAGATCCAACACTGGTGAGTGCTAGCAAGTATTTGCTTACTTTCTCTCTTCGGCTTTTATTTTACTCTGTCCCTTATGCCCATTCTGAAATATATTTTCAAGAATATGGTTTACCTTTTCACTGCTAAGCTTAACGTTACAGGACATGTAAGAACTGCTAGGCCGTAGGATTTGAGGTTTTCATGGAAATGTGAGTATACGAGGCGCGTCCTCAAAGTAAGTTTCCCTGGGGCCGTTTACAGAAAGAAAACACAATTTCATGGAAATATTTATTGCAACAGATACAGCAAGTGTCCAGCTATTTTTCAACATATTCGCCACCGGAATTGAGACATTTGTCATACCGTGGGACCAACTTTTGAATACCTGTGTCGTAGAAGTCTGCCGCCTGGGATTGGAACCACTGTGTGACAACCATCTCCGCCTCTCTTTCATTCTCAAAACGCTGACGCTGACGCTGACCGGACAGGAATTTCTTGAGGTGTAGGAAAAGATGGAAATCACTGGGAGCGAGGTCCGGGCTGTAGGGTGAATGATTAAACACCTCCCAGCTGAACTCCTGCAGGAGACTCGCTGTCTGTCGAGCCGTGTGCGGCCTAGCGTTATCACTGACCGCACTTCACAGTCGGCGGGAGCTGGAATAAGAACCTCCCTCTTCAACAGCTGCAACGATGCTACTGTGAGAACGCGGGAGGTGCCGTTAGTGCATGCGCCATGCTACGTCATTGCTCTATCACGTACGCACAGTCGCTTCGCGCAAAATAAGGTTTGCTAGCTGTGGGACGAGTGGGAAACTTACTTTGAGGACGCGCCTCGTAGATGGTGAATTTCTGGGTTGTTGCATAATTTAGTCTTTTGGCTGTTTGAAACAGTTCATAGGAACGAACTGCCTCATCATCAGTGGGTAGGTTTAGGAAGTGGTTGGTTAGGAGGAGGATAGGTCAGTCACAGCCGTGGGATGAAGAGGAGAGATGGGGCTGTGTCCAAGCAATATTTTCCTCCTAAATGCTGTTACACAACCAGAAGACCATAAGGCATAATAACCCAAAAGACTACCATCTAACCTAACCTAAACTAACCTAACCTAACCTAACCTAACCTAACCTAACCTAACCTAACCTAAACTAACCTAACCTAACCTGCTATAATTGTGAGGCTGTTTTGAAAATATTGAATATCTATTACAAGGGAGTCCTCTTTGCTTAAGATAAGAGAACTGGAATGTTGGAAATCAATATTTTACATTGTTATGGCAACTTTTAAAACATGTGTGAATGAACTATGTTCAATAGAAAACTAACCAGATCCATGTTACACCTAACATTGACAGAAATGAAGTTACAGGTCGCTTTGGCTGCTCTTAATGCATTGATGACCTACTAAAGGATGATGATACAGGACCAATCAAAAACAGTGCTTCAGTTTAACACATTCACTGCTAGCACTTGATTTGTTTGCTTTCCTTTTCTTGCTGAGACCTTAAGCCCACAGATGTAGTTTTTCAGTATCTAAAAAAATCACATTTCACAAATTTTTTATCAGAAATAAAAAAATATTTTACATTACCTTTAGCAGACTGTTATAAAGTGTGGTGTGTTAGGTGCTTCCACATTGCTGTTATTCATGATGTGTATGATAAATATGAAGGTGAGCTGAAATCCAGTGACATGAAGTCTGTACTACATTTCATGAAAGTCATTCAATTGATCCAAGAGTGTTAATTTACTTAATAATGGTCTGTATAATACAATTTCTTAGTACAAAGCATTCATGACTCACGGGTATCTAAAAAACAGACTTCTTTTATTATTTAAAATGTACTGCATATTATAATTTGCCACTTTCATTACAAATTTTCATTGTAGGTGTCTGCTGGAGTCAGTCATACTAATATTTTGTAGTGTTAGATTAATGAGGTCTAACATATATATTTATTGTAGGCATATGTACAATATATGAAATTTGCTCGTCGGGCAGAAGGCATCAAATCTGCTCGAACGGTTTTCAAACGAGCCAGAGAAGATCCACGATCACGTTTCCATGTATTTGTGGCTGCAGCACTCATGGAATACTACTGTAGTAAAGACAAGAACATCGCCTTTCGCATCTTTGAACTTGGTCTAAAGAAATTCTCAGATAACCCTGAATACATACTCTGCTATATAGATTATCTCTCTCATCTGAATGGTAAGTACCTTGGTGTGCAAATGTAATTTATTTATTTCTAACTTTACATCTCTGACAGATGTAATGATTATTCTGTAAACCAGGGTTTCTCAACCTTTTCTAGGCATACATTTACTTGGTTAACAACTTGTGGGCTGCAAGGTTATGAATGAGGACAGTTTATTGAAACTTCATGGAAAATGATTACAAATCCTACTGACTACTGCAAACAAGTTCACATATTACTCAGTATTTTCCTTAACCCCTTGAAGATGATACTCATCTGAATAATATTTAAACACAATATGTCTCCAGTACAGAGATCACTTGGTTAATGCTGTTTAGGAAAATAATCAATGTTTATTCTCAGAATTACATAAAGTCCATAAACATACTATGTGGGTAAAATTCAGATTTATTGAATGTTAAAATAGGTGCTACATATAGTTACCATTGGGTTAAGAAAATCAGTCGTTAGTGAGATATATATCGCCACTTTGGATTGAGTAATCTTTCAACATTAGGTTTAGTTTCTGTTTTTAGTTGTTCATGTTCATTCCTCCAAGTGTCCGTCAATATGATATCTCCTACGTTGATATTTTTCTTCAAACTACACTGTTGATCACAGCAATAAGCATTGCCAAATATTAACAACATTAACAAAACATGTTTATGATATCAAGTCATATTTTTAATCATACAGAGCAACACATCTTTCGCAACATAGATATGCAGGTCACACAAAACACTTTGGAAGGCTGCAAGTGTAGAACCATGCTATAAACCTTGCTTCTTAAGACTATGAATGACCTAACCATCTTTAATTCACTCTAATATGATCCTTTAAACTTCAAACTTTATGATGTAGATGTTTGTGCATTAGTTAATTGAAGATTGAAATAAATTCTGGAGATAATATTTGGATCTATGAATGAATTAATAAAAAATTACCTAATGAAAAACAACACACTTTGTCTCTTCATGTAGTATTTATACAGTAATTAAACCAAACATGATGCCCTTTAACTGTTCGATCTACGACGGGGGCAGAGGATTTTTCCTCTAGCCTCTGCGTCCACACCGGCTCTGGGGCACACCCAGCCTCCTCTACAATGGGTACCGGGGTCCTTTCCCAGGGCGTGATGCTGACCACTCACCCCCATCTAGTGCCGAGGTCAAGGAAGAGAGGAGCTATACCTCCACTCACCCCAAATGCCTACATGACGTATAGTGGGACAAACTTTACTTTACTTGATGTTTGTCTGGTGTGTCCATTATACTTCCTTCAAATGTGGCCTGGCTGATGCTTATCCTGTCTTGAATGGCACTTAGACTTTTTTAATATTCTCTTTGTTGGCACTTGGATCATTCTGAATTTTGTCTCTGCTGGCGGTTCCATAGTTCTTCATTGCCTCTGGGCCGGTGCTCACGCATGGTCAACTGTAATGCCAGATCCATTCTTGCCACTTCTGACATCAGTTGTGACATAATCAGTGGTTACACCATGAGTTCTTAACACAAAATGGATTTATTTAACACTATTACAATTGATTCTTCCCTGGATTAATATCTGATGCTCCACTAATTATTTTCCTTGTCGTCTGGATACAACAGTTCTCTTCCATGTTATGCTATTCTTAGCTGTGGTTCCATCACTCTACACACTGATTAGACTGATAAAAATTGAACAAGTGTATATTCAACACAATATGACGCAACATTATCATCTTTTAAATGCCTGTTTAATCTGTCTGTGAGGTTAGACAAATTGTTAAAGTCCTGTATGATAAAGGTTAAAAAATATTAATACTCACAAACTTAATAAAGGTCATGTGGCATTTGTTCCCTATATATCTCTTGAGATTGGAATTGAGAGCGTCGAGACATTATGCCAGCACCAACTGTATAAAACTAAGGAAAGCAACAAAACATTCCATCTTAATTATCCAGCCCAAGGGAGAGCTGAAGGGAACTGAAAACTCAAGTGCAGAACAAATTAAATTTTACGCTCATTGTGACATGCTTTCTAATAGCACATTGGGCACATACGTGTTTCAGAGGACAACAACACACGTGTTCTGTTTGAAAGAGTTCTCTCATCTGGCAGCCTGGAACCCGAGAAATCTGTGTAAGTGTTGTATATGGTTTTCCATAGCTTGTTATTTCAGAAGGATGAATTCTAAGTGTGGATGGACTCAGTTCTTTCTTTCTTATGGATTCTTTTAAAATCTTAATGAAGGTGCAAAATAAACATGAGAAGACAATGGTCTGCTTTACGGTATTATCTCAGCATTTGCCTTGAGATACCCAGAGTATTGTGGTCATAGAAGGAATGAAACACTGTTTGAACATTTGTTTTACAGAGATATATGGAACCGGTTCTTAGAGTTTGAGTCCAATATTGGAGATCTAGCCAGCATTGTCAAGGTGGAGAAGAGGCGGAGTGCTGTGTTAGGCCAGGTTAGTGTAATATCTGTTAATTTGAAGACACAGTTCAGGTGAAAAATATTATATACTCTGCAACCAAAATGGGAATGCTACACAAAATAAGAAAAGTGTAATCCTGTATAATGTAAGATTTGAGGTTTTCACAAAGGTGAGTATGATTTCTGTCTTCTGGGTTATTGCTCTGTGTAGTCTGGTAGATGATTACCAACATTTCTGAGGTCATACTGCCTCCGTCATCAGGGCGATGAGTCTGAAGATTTCTGTCTTCTGGGTTGTTGCGCTGTGTAGTCTGGTCGATGTTAACCAACGTTTCAGAGGTCATACTGCCTCCGTCATCAGGGTTATGAGTATGAAGATTTCTGTCTTCTGGGTTGTTGCGCTGTGTAGTCTGGTCGATGTTAACCAACGTTTCAGAGGTCATACTGCCTCCGTCATCAGGGCGATGAGTATGAAGATTTCTGTCTTCTGGGTTATTGCTCTGTGTAGTCTGGTAGATGTTTACCGTTTCAGGGGTTATACTGCCTCCGTCATCAGGACGGAGGCAGTATGACCTCTGAAGCGTTGATAAACATCTACCATACTACACAGCGCAACAACCCAGAAGACAGAAATCTTCAAGTGTAATCCTACTAAAAGTTGACAGGTTTGTTGTGTGTGTGTTTATACATATATGGCAGCTGTGGCTCCCTCTGTGTCATTTATGTTTTGTGTGTATTATAGATTAAAGAGTTTGAAGGGAAGGAAACTGCACAACTAGTGGACCGGTACAAGTTCCTAGATCTCTACCCCTGCACAACAGCAGAACTTAGGTAGATATTACCTGAAAATGTGTTACTCTATTCGCTTAAGTGCTTCATTAAGTTTCAGAACATATAACATATTTTCAGTTAATGGTGGGGCAGTAGTTTTGAGTGTACTTTCCTTTTTCTATAAATAGGATTATGGTATATTAATTATATCAGTGTGTCCCTTTTATTGGATATAACTCCTTTACCCTTTCAATATAGGCAGATACAATTTTACTTGTAATTACTAAGGCTTCTTAATCAGGATGGGGGGTGTATTTCCAGCTATTGAGACTTTTAATGAAAAGTGCACCAGTGGGTAATTTTTTAGCCACTGGATCCACATGATATCCACTTGTCACAACTACAGGTGTGAACTGGTGATGCAAAATTTACATTATTAACCTCATCCACCTGGATATGATGAATTTAAAAGTCATTTGTCTACTTAGTACCATGGAAAAACATTCACATAATCTTAATTGCACTGACTTTTAAACATCCACCATTTTACTTTCTCCTAAGCCAATTTAACGTACTGCAGTATCTTCACAGACTGATTCTGTAAGATCCATTCTAATATTTCTCTGTGACCTACACCCAAGTCTCCCAAGTGGTCCCTTTTGAAAGGTTTTCAAATTAAAATATGTACACATTCCTTGTTATGCTACAGGTCTGCTTATCTAATTCTTTGTTTAATTATACTTACAATAATAGGTGAAATGTACAAGTTATGAATCTCCTTATTATGTCCATTTACAGGCAACTCTCAGTTTACGAACGAGTTCCGTTCCAAGACGTTGTTCGTTACAAGTTTTTGTTCGTTATGTGTATCTTGCATTCCTGAGCTTTTACAATATGCATCGTATATTTTAGCAGCCATTTTAAAGCATTAAAACCATGTACTAATTATCATATAATAATTTTCTGATAATTATTGTAATAAATACATTTTTTAAAAGTTTGTTTATTTAAATCTTACAGTTATGTTCACTATACGTTTGGCATTTCGTTTTATAGGGAACTCTATCTATTGGCGACTTTAAGAAATTTTGAATGAATTGTGATGTTCGTTATAGCGAATGTTCGTAAACCGAGAGTTGCCTGTACTCCATTTCTCTGTTACTGTTACTTTATATCTTATAAAGCCAAGAGATCTTAGCAATTAGTATTCACATTGCTTGGATATCTTTTCTACCGTGCATTATGTAATCTTATGATATACACTCTCTTACTCAGGTCAATAGGTTACAGCGAAGTGGCCAGTACAGCTGTGAAGTCATTCCATCCATTGTCTTCATCTATCCTTGATTCTGAAGAGGAATCCTCCAATATGCCAAAGCCAGATTTCACACAGATGATTCCATTCAAACCAAAGGCACAAGCTATTCCTGGTGACCATCCTGTTCCAGGTACGTTTGCTAAACACTAAGTCATGTCACTCTGTCCTTGAATACATAAACTTAAGATACCAGTAATATATTGGCAATGCACATTTGCAGATTATATTTTAATTCATAACTAATTTGAACAAAAGAAATATAACAATGAACAGAAATTTTAAAACAAAACTGAAAATTAAACATCTTCTATTTGTAAAATATGCTGTAATGTGTAGAATATTTAAATAATCTGTTACAGGTTAGATTATTTAAAGGGCATAAAATTGATTTTTTTAAAAGTATCATCCCAGGATCCAGGTCATAATATTCTTGTCCTTAGGTTTTTGCAGCTAGAGTTCAATGTATAACTTTGGCCTTTGTGTGTGAGCCACTGCAAATGTTACAGTTGCCATTTTCAAGATGAGTGTGTAGTGGGGAGAGTTCTGTAAGCGTAAGAGTTGATGGTGCTGATTGGTAGAGCAGAGTAGTGGGCCACTTTCCAGTGGGAATGTGTGGGGTTGAAGAAAATGAGGCGCCAGAATTTTTTTTATAAACACATGGTGATGAAAGAGGTTCTGGTGACCATGTTAAATGGGAGAGGATTTCCAACAGTTGTGTGGAAAGGAGTGGATGTTATTAGACCACAGATGGAAGACCAGCCCTTTTGAGGGCCTGGTAAGGTCAGTGGCTTGGGGCAAAACATGTGATACCAGGCTTTGCTTGGCCGCTAGCTGTCTTCGTGATTAGAGTAGAGGGGTTATTTGGATATCTCAATTGGTTCTGTTTATGCAGGGTTAATACCCAAATATTTGACCCAGTTCACACCTGAAAGCTGAAGTTATATATTAAAATCATTATGTTCTTCTCTCTTTTATTCCTTTCTTCTGTCCTTCTTGGTGTACTTTATTACCTTTTTTCATAACTCATTTTATATCATTACTTTGTGTAAGTATTTCTGTGACAGAGTAAAACTGTTGCAGGAGGTGTTTTTCCTCACCCACCAGCAGTAGCCCAACTCTGCACATTACTACCACCTCCAGGCTGCTTCCGTGGACCATTTGTGGCTGTTGACATGCTTCTGGATGTTTTCAGCAAAATCCAGTTGCCAGAGACAGGTGAGACTTTTAAGATGGTATGGTAATGAATTTTTGCATCTGGAACTTTTATTTTGGTATCCATGGACAGTGCAGTGAATTGTTGTGATGTATTTACTTAATATTATTTATAGCACCATCACCAACAGCAGACAATGGCTGTGATACAAAGCTCTTTGACCTTGCCAAGTCTGTGCACTGGATAGTAGATGAAGGCCAAGAGGGTACACTAACCATGCCAGGAAGTGTAGGAACAAAGAGAAGACGGAAATTGGGAGCAGACCGAATAGCAGTAGGGATGGATGACAGTGAGGATGATGAGCTTTCAGGTGCACCTCCTGTAAATGACATTTACAGACAGAGGCAACAGAAGAGGGTCAAGTGACTGCTGGTTGACAGAGAAGAGGAAGGCTGCTAAGATTTCTATCAGTGTTCTCTTTGCACATTTGTTACAGTTATGTTAAATAGTAAAGACATTTTAAAAAAAAACAATTCAAGGTAGATAATTAAAGTCTTCTTGACCTTAACATGATGCACTGATTTAGAAAAAGAAAATGTAATAAAATATTGAACATTTTCTTTGATGCCATACTCCAGAGATGGCATACCTTTTCACTGCATGGTGCCAACCATCCTCATTACTACTTATCACTGTTGTGAGACATCCACTTTATACATTTTTAGGAAGTTCAATTCCCTGCTTGTACATGGTTGAATGATATAAATAGCACTTATTCCATTTGAGAGAAGGCTGCTGACTATGGCTTTGTGTACCTCTAGGATGAAAATAATTGGTAAAAAGTGGCATCATGTAGAAAATACGTTGTTTTCTCTTGTAACTATCTTTATCTGGTAGGATTTGAGGTCTGAAGATGGCTGTCTTCTGGGCTGTCGTGCCGTGTAGTCTGGTAGAAGTTTACTGACGTTTCAGAGATCCTTGCTGCATTCATCATTAGGACAAAGAGTAAGCCATGCGCGTGGAAATGGTCAGAGTTATACGAGACTGGCAATCAAGAAAGAGCCTTGGCCTAACCAGTGGGGACTGGAGTTAGAATTGGGTGAGGGCCTGAGAACCATGGTCTGGCCAGCAGGAGGGGTAAGGACATGAGGGGGGGGGGGGAGAGGAGTAGAGGCCGAGAAAGTGGCCCTTATAAGGGTGTCTCAGGGTCCAGCTGGTGGATCCCCAGACATACAGGAGGTGGGTGGACATGATGAGGACTAAGGATAGTGGAAGGTAAACTTCTACCAGACTACACAGCTCAACAGCCCTTTTGGTATTTGGGATGAAAATATAAAGTACTGCAACAAATTGTGTCCTGGTTAAATACTGAATTATCAAATGGGACCAAATGTTAATATAGGCACAAAATGCAATCACCAGTGCCATCCCTGATAAAGTAATTCAAAATATAAAGAGCAACAGGAATGTCAAGGATCACACAGGTGTAGAAATGTTAATTTTCTTAACCTGCAGGTGTAAATAAATTAAATAGCACAACTAAACAAGATGTGGCAAGCTATAGAAATGTATCTTAAGAATTTGTCCCATGCCTCAGAAATTCTTTACAAAAACTACATGGCTCTTTCCATACCAAAACCAAAAGTAAAAGAATTGTGTTCCTGAAGTGAACATACATATGTTTGGGAAGAAGTTTATAGTATATGTTTTTACCATTTAAAGAATCTTGGTGACTTTCTTAAAATTAAAATAAATTTTACCAGTGTTTTGTGTTAATTTTATCATAAAATTCATGTACTGTGAACTGTCTTCAATTTTTCATTTACCTCTTGTTGTGTGTGTTTTTCAAGGGCCAGGGAGTGCCTCTAAAAAGCTGGAAATATTATTTTGTATGATGCCAACTATAGCTAATATTGTGAGTGATAATGATGACTACAGCACTTCATGAACATGTTACTTTTGTCCTATCCATCTGTGATAAAAGCAATTTCACCCCCTATCACCTGTAACTATGAGAGTGGATGGCTCCTTGGGACAAAAGAGTACACAGGAAGTCCACTTTCACCAACCTCTACATGAGAGCCAGGTCTTAACTACCATTCAGCAAACAAACAAGCTATGCTTTTCCCCCCTGGTACACAGGACCAAACCTCAAATCCTACATGGTTAGGATAACCTTGGTTACTAAAGTTACCTTCATTACCATGGTTTCCCCAGTCTCATGGTTACTCTATTTGCATTGGCTACCATGGTCATCAAGTTGGCTATCCCTATTTTTGGATATATACATATAGCTAGCTTTATATGCATTCTTTCTGTGTGAAGAACACATAATAAAACCTGTGTCAAACTTAAAGAACAAAGTAACATATCTTGAGAAGTGGCCTGCAGTTATCCCCAATGATCTCCAACCTAAAATGTCAGTAGTTATTCTTTATTAATTATAATCATTATCATTACAAAGCTCTGAAGAGTACATCACTCATCATAATAGTCCACATGCTGTCCTGATTCAAACTTTCCATTTTCAAGTACTTCAATAATTCTATTTGTAGTCTGTTCAACAGTTAGGATCTTTTCTTCCTTCTTCAGATTTACAAACATTTGTTTGATGTCAGCATCTCCAGTGCCACTTATTACTTCTGATACCATATCTGTGTCTACTGGACCAGGAGCATAATTGAGAACAGTAAGTGTTGGATTCTCTTTTGCCAGCACTCTAAAGAACATTTCTCTACTAGCCTTTCCAGTGCAGTAATATCCCATTGAGTTAAATGGTTTGATTGCACAAAGGGAAGTGACATTAATAACACTCCTCTGTTTGACTGATCCTTCAGAAAACACTTTAAGAAACTGAGAATTGAGACATGCAACTGAAAAAAGATTTAGAGAGAAATATTCCTGCCATTTATCTGGGTTGGACATATTGGAAGTGTTTTCTGATACATCCCCAACTGAACCTGCATTATGAATTATCAAGGATAAATCAAAATCTGCAGGGTTACACCCAGATTCTGTGAGAGATGTCTGTATCATTTGAAGAAATAACTCTGGATCTGGTTTACAAAGATCTGTTGGGTACACCTTAACTTTAACATCTGCATTAGCATTTTTTACAAGATCCTTAGTCTCTACCAAACCTGATTCAGATCGGGCCACAAGGACCAAAAGCGAGTTGGCAGCAAATCTGCGTGCAAATTCTACAGCAAATTTGCGTCCAATTCCTTTGCTAGCACCTGTTATCAAACAGTAGGTCTTCTGTCCCCAGAAAAATTTCTGTATGTCTGTCATTTTAACCAGTCAATTAATTTCACAATAACTTTATGGAAACTTAATTATTCAGACTGCTAGCACTATTATTTTCTTCTTCTGCTAGAATTTCTGCTAATTGGTCAGCTTTCAGAAGTTCAACAAGTTCACCCAAAGTTATTGCTTGGCGCTCGGGTGCAATCCGCCTCAACAATGTGTGAGCAGGGTGGTTGATGTGAACTGGTTCATCCAAGTCAAAGTCTTCCTGAGTGACAGCTGTGTTACTACTGCCTTCTGACATCAACCTCAACATACACGATTTGTGCTTTTCCTCAAGGGATTGTATAAGATCTTTCTTACTCTGACGTTCCTTCAATATTGCCAGCCTTTTTTCTGCAATCAAATACAGGAAATTATATATTTGTAAATATATCTTTTAAATTATTTCACGCAGATTAACAACACAAATGGCATGATAAAACATGTTACCTAAGGATGCTAAATATTTGACAGAATCTGGAAGACGGTCACTTGGTTCGAAATTGTCTTCGAACTTCAGTGTCAGCCTCTCCTCCCTCTCCACAGTGCCTGTACTTAGCCAAGGATCCATTGTTATTGAAAGGACATAAAAATGCTCCTGTCAGTTCAAATTTCCTTAAGTACCTAACACTTGGGTAAGTATATGAATAATTTCATATTTTTAAAATGACATTTTCAAACCATGTATTGCCCTAACTGACAACTATTTTTTTACCTCGTACCGTTTGCAGCTTCGATTGCCAAGTCTTTCAAAGGGAATTGTACTGTTGGCAGCACACATAATACCAACTTAAGCATATAGCATCATGACTTGACTTCCGTTTTACATCTTTGGTTTAGTAAAAGTGCTAAAATTAGGCAAATGGTCTAAAAAAGAGAGCAAAATTCTGTTGTTGTAATCTATTAGACTGCATGATTGTCTTCAGAACCACGCATCTGAAGTCAGAAATTACTTCTAAACGTTCAGAACTGCACAATTCTTGTTAAATAAGACATTGGATATATACATTTCTGTAGCTTAAGGTTATGTTCTTTCTAATGTATTTTATATATACGTATGAAGCTTCGAACTGGCGACCTTAGGAAGATTGTGCTATACGTGTTATAGCTCCCACTTTATTAGTACACGGTACCACAGACTCAATTTTATACTGCTGTCTTAGTACTCGCTATGTCTAACAGGTGGCACCACTAAGTGCGACAACAGCGTTTAATTGCGCCAATATCTGGAAGTACTCGTAATGAAAAATTTAAGGACCATCTTGTCATGGTAGACCGCTTAGAAGGTGAACGTACAGTCATTTTATAGGATTTGAAAGGATATTATTTATTAATAATTATAAATTGTCTGGAAGATTTTATGTGTGCTGTGACAATTAATACAATGAACTGGTTGTAATATGTAGGTACTTCGTGTCATAATTGCGTTGTTATTTGAAGTGGGTGGTTTGTGTTATTAAGTTGCAATATCATCATAGGAAACGTTTGGTGTGAGTACAGTTTCATTATCTACCTTTAATTAATATGAACAACTAAGTTCTCTTAATAAACAAGTTGGAAGTCTGTATTGTAATCGAATTATAAATAGGGGATGAACAAACCGTTTACAGACGATATGCATGTCATATTCTAGTGTGTATCCAATCAGATTCTCTGTCCTGGTCTGATGATCACTAGCTTGTCCAATCCTGACAGTTTGTTAATTTACCCGCAAAGCACGAAAGTGATACGTATATCCACCCTTCTAATTCGTGACATTTGTTCCTAAATGCCAAATTCAAGAATTAAAAGTATAATTGTCGTGCATAGTGTATTCAATATATAATATTAAGAATTTTTCTAAATTTATAAAGGTGTGATAAAATCTTAAACTAAAATGAAGACTTTGACCCAGCAACAGTGAGAATGGGCTAAAATAATGACGGTTTTGTATAATATAATGATAGAAGTAGTTGTGATAACAATAATTAATGATGGTAAAAATTTGTGGATGGTATCCATCAAATATGCTTCGTGTGAAAAGATAACTGTTATCATACCAGGATATATTGTAATATGAGCGTAACATATTGTCTAATTATTAGTGTTTCTTTAGGATACTTTGCTCCATCTTATTGCCTAAGTGATACTTTTTTCCTGGAAAGTCTAGTTCATTTATGCCTCTGTACAGGTCTATTCAGTATTTTTGTTTTTTCAGAATTATTGCTGTTGTCTTAGAGATATTTCCTGTGTTTATTTCTGACAATTCTTGTAGTTTTATGTCCTGCACTTTTCATATTACCTCTATTAGCAGTTTCGTATGCTTTCTTTGATTGAATAATTTTTCACATGATTTATTTAGCTTTAACACATAATAATTTTGACTCTCTTTGGCAAAATTTGTGTTTCTTCTGTAATATTTTTCCAATATAAATTGATGTCCACATTATCAACCAAGCTGCTCAAAGCTGCAGGATTAGTATTCATTAAAATATGTGATAAATGGACTGTCTGCCCATGATGCTTAGCTAGTAATGAAAAGTAACATGAAATTAGTTGTCACAAATTACAATTTCAGGAAACAATCTAGACTAATAAAAGAATTTGCAACCCATCTAAGAAATGAAAATTGGGAATGTGTATATAATGATGGTTATGGTGTTAATTTAAAGTGAAACACATTTCAAAATATGTTTGTAAGAATTTTTGAAGCAAGCTTTCCAACAAACACAAAAAAATAAAGGTATTAGAAAGCAGTGTATGGATAACTAAAGGTATCAGAATATCCTGAAAACATATGCGTCACCTTTATCTTAATAACCCAACTCGTAACAACCAAGTAGCGACGATTCAATATAAAAATTACTACAAAGTTTTAACTCAGGTCATTAGAGAGGCAAAACATACATTACAGTTTTATAACAAAGTAAGAACTATTTGGAAAATGTGAAGATGAAACAGTCAAACATTCCGCAGTAAAAGAAAGTCCATCAATAAAGGTAGATAATAGTGTTATAAACAGTCCTAAACTCATAGCAACTCATTCAATGCTTATTTTGTAACAATTGTAGAGAAATTCAACAGTGGTACAGAGAGCCCTACAGAGGAAGAGGCAATACAATACATGACAAAAATAATCCCTAGAAACTTTCCAGATATAAATTATATGTCTGCAAGGGCAAATGAAATAAAAAATTAATTGTCTGAAGTCAGAAATTTTGCAATTATGATGGAACATCGACAAAATTACTCTAAACTTGCTCACACTTTATTGTTTCTTTAAGTTATATCTGTAATCAGTCACGTGTCAAAGGAAGCTTCCCAAAATAATTTAAATATTCAAAGGTCTCTGTATAAAAAAGTGAAAAAACTTCTAGCTCCAACTATAGGTCAGTTGCATTACTAACATCATTTTTGAAAACACTTTATTTCACTTTCTGAGATTGAATCTTCACATATTAGACTTTTCTGTTGATAGTCTCTCCACAGCTTTCGCAAACACCATATTGTGGTGTCAAAAGTTCCCCGTTAAAAGTAATATTTGTTCTAATTCTCCTGTATTTTTGTAGAAGAAGCAAAAAAAGTTGTGGTTGTCAAAAAAGTTGCTTCTGCACCACAGGTACGATATGTGAACAGAGAAGTGACTCAAACCTGTATTTAAAATTCTGTGATTTTAGTTTTTCCATGTTGTTTGCCACCTTAGTAGGACACAGCATTAAGTCACAATAAATTGCAAACAAAATACAAAATGCCATACTCATTGGTAAGCATAGATGTAATTATAAGAATTGGAAATATTTTTAATATGTTGTCATTGAGATATCTTGACAAAATTTGGCACAGACTTTTGCTTCAGGTACTAAATTACATACATATTATATATATTTATTTATTTAATATTTTAATCATACTAATTTTCTGGATTTCAAGGTCAAACTCTAAATTCATTTAACATAAAAAATTATTGCAACTTAACATAGACAACGACAGTCTATAAGTACGCTTCAGTATCTTTAATATAAGTTATACCTCAAAGATCACAGTATTCTTAATAGGCTTCATAATATAGGCACTTAAAAATTACTCAGTGGACGAAATTTTGAAAATTATTCCCATTTCAGAATTTTGTTAGCTTATAAACCATTCACTCAATTTAAGAATGGAAATTTTTGTTTACATTTATAGGTTCTGTGGGTGTACCAATTGTAATAATCCATTGTAGGTTTTAGTTGATTTGAAAAACATTTGGATATAGGAAGGATGAAATAAGTGAATAGTTTATGATATTACATACTGTACTTTGTAATTTATGCAGACCACTGAGAGTTGTTAGGAGATAACTATGTAATAGGCAATAATGTAGTGGGAGAGATGAGGAATGCATGCAACATTCAGGTGGGGAAAACACTTTTAAAATGTGCACTAGTAAGACATAGAAGGAAATAACATTAAAATGAATTTTTGGATGGTAAATTGTGGGACAGGAGGCGGTTGGAAATAGCACATTATTGTGTCCTATAGCAGGCGTTGGTATCAGTGGTGTCAAACATCATTTTGCTACCACGGTGTTTGAATAATTAAACATAATGACAAGCAAGAATTCAGAGGATGTGTTTCTGACGTAACAATCTCACGCATATAATTTACACTCTAAAAGTACTTGTCAACAGGAACTTGACATTGATGACAAAATATGCATACAATCAAACCAGATCGTGCATGGA